CCCCCCTCCTCTCGGCGAGCGCCTCCACGTCATGGCCGCAGTGCGCAGCGAGCGCCCTGATTCTTCCGCTTGGACGCTCAGGACGGCGGCCCGCTGCCCACCAGACTCGGTCCCAGAACCCCAGTCTCAGCAGGAGGACATTTTGGGACGGGACTTGGGTGACTCTAGGGCACTGGTTTTCTTTCCAGAGACCGGAACGGGCGAGCAAAAGTAGTCCCTTCTCGGCGGTTCTGCGGAGGAATTTCCTTGGGGCGGTGAACGCCGATGACTATATAAGGACGCGCCGGGTGTGGCGCAGCTAGTTCCGTCGCAGCCGGGAGTGGGATCGCAGTTCTTGTTCGTGTGTCGGTGTTATCGCCACTTGGTGAGCAGAGGGCTGCTGGGCCGGCCAGGCCTTTCGTGGCCGGTGGGCCGCTCGGTGGGATGGAGGGGGGCCGACGCCGCGGGTCGAGAGACCGCCGAGGGCTGTAGTCTGGGTCCGCGAGCAAGGTGCCCCTGAGCAGCGGGTGGGAGGGGAGCGCAGCAAAATGGCGGCTGTTCCCGAGTGTTGAATGGAAGACGCTTGTGAGGCGGGCTGTGAGGTTGTTGAAACAAGGTGGGGGGCATGGTTTGCGGCAAGAACCCAAGGTCTTGAGGTTTTCGCTAATGCGGGAACGGTCTTATTCTGGTGAGGTGGGCTGGGGCACCATTTGGGGACCTTGATGTGAAGTCTTGTCACTGACCGGAGAACTCGCTTTGTCGTCTGTTGCGGGGGCGGCAGTTAATGGCGGTGCCACTTGCCAGTGCACCCGTAGCTTGAGGAGCGCGCGCCCTCGCAGTATCGTGACGTCATCCGTTCTGTTGGCTCATAATGTAGGGTGGGGCCACCTGCCGGTAGGTGTGCAGTAGGCTTTTCTTCGTCGCAGGACGCAGGGTTGGGGCCTAGGGTAGGCCCTCCTGAGTCGACAGGGGCCTGACCTCTGGTGAGGGGAGGGATAAGTGAGGCGTCAGTTTCTTTGGTCAGTTCTATGTACCTATTTTCTTAAGCAGCTGAAGTCTGGGTTTTAAACTATGTGTTCGGGGTTGGCGAGTGTATTTTGTGAAGTTTCTTAGGTACCTTTTAAATTGTAATCATTTGGGTGAATATAACATACAGTTTAAGTATTAGGAAGTTTAGTACATTGTCTGCTAAATCCTGGTGGTTTTTGGCCCTTTTGTTAGACAATGCAGATCTTCGTGAAGACCCTGACTGGCAAGACCATCACCCTCGAGGTCGAGCCCAGCGACACCATCGAGAATGTCAAGGCAAAGATCCAAGATAAGGAAGGCATTCCTCCCGACCAGCAGAGGCTGATCTTTGCCGGAAAGCAGCTGGAAGATGGGCGCACCCTGTCTGACTACAACATCCAGAAAGAGTCCACCCTGCACCTCGT